TGAGCCGGCCTTAGAGCATTAAGTACCTGAACACCTCACGGTACGCATCTAAGCAGTAGGTACCTGAACACCTAATGGTACACATCTACTGACCTTAGAAGCAGTAGGTACCTGAACACCTAATGGTACACATCTACTGGCAGTAGAGTATTCTACTGGCTTCTACTGATTTTAGAAGAAGCGCTCACCGCAGCTCACTGAGTCTGTTGGCCTCAGTTACTTGACGGCCGCATTCAGTGAGCTTGCAGTATGGTGTTCGGCAAGCAGGATTAACCGAACCTCCTTGCGGTGTCAACTGGTCTTGAAGGCGGTAGATAGTACTCACCAGACCATCTTACGGTGTACTTCTACCGGCCTTAGAGAGTATTTACAGGACTACTGGTGATGTCTGCGGACTCACCGCCTACGCTGGTCAACTGTGGGCCGGAGTCATCGGATGCTGTTTAGTGGGACATTACATGAAGAAAAGGTTGGAGTGTTACACTGAACTGGGCTAGGACTGTAGTGTGACACTTAAGCAAGTATGATGGAGTGGAACACTGAGATATGCTACAGGACCGTAGTGGAACACTGAGAGGAAAAGGGTGTCGTGTGACACTGAAGATGGCCTGGTTGTAGTGTACATTGAATAGTGTCATGTGACTGGCCTCGACAAAGACGCTATGCGGGTAGTGTGACGCAGAGACAAGGGTGTCAAGTGTGACACGGTTGCGAAAGTGTGTGTATTACACGGAGAAAAGGGTGTCAAGTGACACGGTGGAGAAAGAGCGTCACAACTCGGATAAGTGTCGTGAGAAACTCAGTTGATTGTAATTTATTATTTTAAATGTTACTTAATTTATTATTCTAGCATAGATATATATAGTGACACAGTAGTGTCAAGAGAGTTGTACCCTGTGTAGGGTCACGAATTATTATTTATTATTTTAGATGCTAATTATAATTTATTATTGTAATCTGTATATATTGTCAGATGTTTATTAGTTCAAATACCTCTAGACCAAAGATAGTTGATTTTTATATTATTGAAGATTTATTTTAATGTGTATATATATATATCCCGAACTTTTATATTACTAACACCTAATGTAAAAAACCATTTGGTGTTTTTGTAATAATGACGTGGATTCATTTCCTCGTGCTTAATAGGTTTCGCGTGTCAGAGATCAACGTTTCTGCTGGCTGGTGAGAGAGGATGAGCTGGGCAGTGATACTTGCTGATACTTGATGATACTTGATGATACTTGCCACCAAACTGACAACAGAATCCTATTTCATTTTGAAATTCCATGTCATTCCCGCTGCTGGTCTCTTCTTCAATGGAGGCGACCTGATGTTTACTCAAGATTCTTCAGCCAAAGAATTGAGCTTCCCTTCTCTTTATTGGATGAAATCTAATTACCTTCCATTTCCCAAGCGCCGTTTGACCCCTACATGATTAGCGCTTTCCGTTAATATAACAAAGGCTTATTTTGGCTAGGGCACATTTAAATTCACTGGTGATGGGCGCCTTCCCCACCCCCCCCCCCCCCATGACTCGTGTCGGGCCCCACTGAGCAGACATGTGTGGACACAACACTATTGACTTATTAGAAATTAAGGAACTTAGTTTGACATGTGTTTTTATGTCTGGATGTTGTATTAGTGTTTTTAAGTGAACATTTATTGCAACATGTGCTGTATTTACGTATATTAGAAATAACAATTCAGTTCCACAACTTCCTTCCGTCTATACCATACCATAATCCTTCACACATTTTGAAATATATTCAGAATCCCATACATTACTTGACTGTTTTCTGGTATATTTATGCTTACGTTCCTTTTAATAAATTTATCTTCATATCACGAGAGAGAGAGAGAGAGAGAGAGAGAGAGAGAGAGAGAGAGAGAGAGTCAGCAAGACATCGTATTGGTGCAAGTGTTCCACAGGGATGTGTGCTTGAGCCATTGTTATGGAAAGTCTACTTCAATGACCTTCATCTCAACCCAGAATCCCATGCATATGCAGAAGACTGTACCCTGACTTATGTTGTTGGTGCCGATGCTGTTGCTGTTACTGTGATTGCTGTTGCTGCATTTGCTGCTGTTTGGCTGGTGCTGCTGCTGTTGTTACTGTTGCTGCTGTTGTTGCTTCTGTTGCTCTTGCTGCTGCTACTATTATTATTACTACTACTACTACTACTGATACCACTGCTGTTACTACCACTTCTGCTGCTACTACCACTGCTACTACAACCACTGCTACTACAACCACTGCTACTACAACCACTGCTACTACTATTATTTCTGCTTCTAATATTACTGCTATTATTACTTCTACTCCAACTAATGTTGCTACTGCTGCTGCAACTATTACTACTACTAATAGTACTGCTTCTATTACTACTACTACTACTACTACCACTGCTGCTGCTACTGCTACAGTTAATATTACTACTACAAATAGTACTGCTATTATTGCTGCTACTGCTGTTTCTACTGCTGCTACTACCACTGCTGCTACAACTGTTGCTGCTATTACCACTGCTGCTACTACCACAGCTGCTACAACTGTTTTTGCTATTACCACTGCCACTACTACCACTGCTGCTACAACTATTGCTGCTACTACCACTGCTGCTACTACCACTGTTGTTACTACTACTGTTGCTAGTTTCACTGCTGTTGCTTCTGTTATTACTACTCTACTGCTAGTACTGCTGCTGCTGCTGCTGCTATCTCTACTATTGCAATTACTACCACTTCTGCTACTATTGCTACTACAATGACTTCCACTGCAACTAACACTGCTAGTGATACTTTGACTGTTACTATTGCCACTACTATTACTACTAATACTGATATAACTATTACTACTTCCATGAATTGCACTAGTACTGTTGCTACTACTCCAAGTGCTATTACTCTGTTGCTTTTGCTGTTACCACCACCAGTACTACTACTACTACTACTACTTGTAATAATAATAATAATAATAATATTTTGCTATTATATTTTAGTTCTATGTTCAAACATTGTACAAATAAACATTTTTATTACACAGACAAATGTTAAAGTTACATTGATGGATCTTATGATTTATTACCCAGAATATTACTGTAAATTATATTATATATACAAATCAGTTGTGAATAAAGTATATAATAATGCTAGTTTATATATTGAAAAATGTGGTAAATACTGCAGCAGGTACTATGTTTGTGTATCCTTGTATGTATGTGTGTATGAGTATGTATGTATATGTGTATGTATGTATGTGTGTGTGTGCAATAAGATCACAATAAGTAAAATAATCATGTTGGTTATTTTACATATGTGTGTATGTATGCATGTATGTGTGAACATGATTGTGCACATGTTTGTGCACATGCTTGTGCACATGCTTGCATGCATGCGTGTTTTATGTTTTATCTTACCTTGTAGTCATTACTCTGTGTTGTATCTTGTTTTGTAGTCACTAAATTGTTATATCTAGTGTTGCATGTTCTGTTGCAAGTACTGAAGTTAGCGTGCCTGGTCTGCTGTAGCTTAGTCGCACAAGTTCTTGCAGGTAGCACCTGGCGCACATCGGCCAGTTTGGTAATCGAAGCTATCTCCAGAATCACACTGGAAGTGGTATGCTTCATTGGGTACTCCTTCTTCAGTGCAAATGTAGTACTTTCTGCAATCAAAGGGGTCGGGGGCCTCCACGATCCCCGGACCACAGTATGGAGTACACGAAACTTGGCAACATACTCCTTTGTCCTTGACGCAGGTTTCTCCGTTGAAATAAGGGGTATCGGAATCACAGTTTAGGGTTACAATATTGCTAGGGAGACATATATAATAAGTACTGCAGTCGAATGGATCACTGATGAAACTGTAGGTGCCGTTGCAGGTGATGGGGCAGACTGTTACCTCACAGGAAGGTGTACAATCAGGTCCCGTGGCACAGTTCCCACCCTCAGGATCAAAGATCATGCCAGCGTCGCAGGGTAGAGCGTGGTCTGATGGTATGCCACTCAAGCAAATGTAATAGTTGGTACAGTTTAAGGGATCTGCGACCTTGTCAAGATCATTTTTCCCAGTACAGTCTGGTGTACAGGAGTCTGCATAGAGCATCCCGGCGGTGCTCACCACCTGTGTGAACGTGAAAATATGCATTATAAAACTGTGTTCTTACCGTCTACGAAATTAATATAGAACTTACCTACTACTATGTCCCAGATCCCGTGCAATCCACAACCTCACTTATCACTTTCTTAATCTCTACCCATAACCTCTCTGCACTATGTTACACCAATTCTTCCTCCCATTCTTACCATCAATATTCTCTCTTAACATTATGTTATTTCTAATGACTTATTTCAATCAATTGTTGCTGAGTTATTGAGTTCAGGACATCAAAGCGATGACATAACAGACGGTGGTGATTTGTAAATAATAATGATAAAAGTAATAAGAGTAATTATAATTATTATTAATATTATAATTATTAATAGTAGTAGTAACAGTAATAGTAGTTGCAGTAGAAGGAGTAGTAATAGTAGCAGCAGCAGCAGTAATAGCAGTTGTACTGGTATTAATTAATAGTAATTATAATAGAATATAATATTATGGAGACTTAGTAACTTTACATAGAACAAAAGACAATTATCCTCACCGCTAAAGAAATAAGAAAAATGAGCTTGAGCATCTTGGACCAATTGTGTTGATGATGAGGATCAACAGACTCTTGACTACTTGTGAACTTCCCCACCAACACCGACTCCTGCTCAAGAAGACTCTGGATCGAGTGTATTTGCAAGTGTACTGTGGTGGGCTTCAGGAGTGCTGTGAGGGACCACCGGTTTGTTGAAGCTGTACGAGACTATGCAGCTTCTAGTGTCGGGATGCCAACACTTATACACCGACACATATCAGTGTGAGGGCGTTGTTATTACGACACCAGTGGGAGGAACCGTTGTGGTTAGATTGCGTTAATATGCACTTTCACTATCAACCGAGATAAACACGTCTTCAGGTGTAGAGGAAACAGTTTGTATTTCTCACAACTTACAACAATAATATTAACAAATAAGTTCTTAGTGTAACAATCTTCTTGATGATTTTCTTTGTTTATATAATATTGTTACATGTGATAAAGAAACATTTATGGGTTAAGGAAGATGTTGGCCAACAACAATACAAGAGTTTTTAGTTCGTCACACCAACAAGCGTAAAAAAGTACTAGCTTTAAACGATGATTTAATATTTTGTTTAAAAGATGTTTGAGATCCGGCGGAGGAGAATAATCAAGTAAACTTGAGTTTACGTGAAGGTAATTGACGCTTAATCCTGTTGCAAAGGAGCAGTGGAACCAACGTGAAAAAAAAAATGAAAACTGATTTTTTTTTTTGTGAAGCTAACCTGATGTTCAATGAGTTCTATATTGAAGTCTTTAAGAATTCCGGCTAGGGTCAAAAATGAAGATTTCCCAAGATGGCCGACGTTCGTGTTTTCCTAATAATTCTGATGCGTTCCTTCAGACATAATCTTATGCCTTCCTTTCTACTTATTATCATGTGTTCCTAGGTACTGTTTATCGTGCGTTCTCTGATACTTATCTCACGCTTTCCTTTTTATTTATCCTCTAATGCGTTTTACGCATTGCTTAGACAGATGGGTGATGATTGGATCTACTGGTTAGACAAATGGATGGTAGTTGTAGCTACTGGTTAGACAGATGGGTGAAGGCTTTATCTACTGGTTAGACAGATGGGTGGTAGCTGTAGCTACTGGTTAGACAGATGGGTGATGGTTGTATCTACTGGTTAGAGATAAGGGTGGTAGTTCTGTCTACTGGTTAGACAGCTGAGTAGTGGTTCTAGCTGCTGGTTAGATAGACAAATAAATGGTGGTTGTAACTACTAGTAAGACAGGTTGTGGTTGTAGCTTCTTATTAGACATATGAGAAGGGGGGTTGTAACTACTGGTTAGACTTACGAGTGGTGGTTGTAGACCAGTACTCGTTCCTCATTCTTTTCCTCATCCTCATATCTGACATAGTGATGTAAATCATTGCCCCATATAACCCAGTACTGACGATATTTGAATTTGCATGTATGTGTGTGTGTGTGTGTGTGTGTGTGTGTGTGTGTGTGTGTGTGTGTGTGTGTGTGATCTACTGAAAGGACTGTATATATTCAGTCTTCCAACGAACAACAGAAAACAATGTGATATTCAATATGAACAAATTTCAGTAACTCCGGTATGGAAAACTTGAGGAAATATAAGCTACAACGTAGTATAAAACACATACTAGTAACTCATTCGAGCCAAAAACTAATGTAAAGGACTTAGGAGTTATAATTTCAGAGGATCTCACCTTCAAGGATCACAACAGTGTCATTATCACAAGCTCGGGGAAAATGACTGGATGGGTAATGAGAACCTTTAAATTAAGAGATGTCAGGCCAATGATGATTCTCTTTAAATCATTTATTCTTTCTTGGCCAGAATACTAAAAGCTCCTTTTAAGGTTAGCGAAACTGCAGATCCAGAGAATGCAAGGAGACCTTAACTGCACGAATAGGTTCAGACAATCTTCTTAATTGCTGGAAACTTTAAAAGTTCTCTGTCCTGTACTTCCTGGAACGCAGACGCATCAACATAATTTACACATGGAAAACCCTGGTTTGACTGGTGCCAACTCTGCACACAAAAATCACCCCCGCGAAAGCAAAAGGCTCTTCGGACGGTGCAACATTCTTCGGTCTCAAGAAGTGATGCCAGACAGAAAAAACTCAATAAGTGAAAGGGGACGACGACGATTTATTCTTTAGATTTCCATAGGTAACTAAAGTCAGCTCCTGACCATCAGGAATATGGTTCATACGTTGGATTGCGTGCTGCCCTCAGCAGTCTGGCTGGTCAAGCCCTGATCCACCAGCAGGCCTAGTCGATCAAGCCCTAATCCACCAGGAAGACTGGTCATGGACTAGGATACTCAGTTGAGCCCTAGGAACACTCTCTAGGAAGGTAGACTCCAGGCATGGGTAGTGGTTGTAGCTGCTGGTTAGACAGATGGGTGGTGGTTGTAGCTGCTGGTTAGACAGATGGGTGGTGGTTGTAGCTGCTGGTTAGACAGACGGGTGGTGGTTGTAGCTACTGGTTAGGCAGATGGGTGGTGGTTGTAGCTGCTGGTTAGATAGATGGGTGGTGGTTGTAGCTGCTGGTTAGACAGATGGGTGGTGGCTGTAGCTACTGGTTAGACAGATGGGTGGTGGCTGTAGCTACTGGTTAGACAGATGGGTGGTGGTTGTAGCTACTGGTTAGACAGATGGGTGGTGGTTGTAGCTACTGGTTAGACATGGGTGGTGGTTGTAGCTACTGGTTAGACAGATGGGTGGTGGCTGTAGCTACTGGTTAGACAGATGGGTGGTGGCTGTAGCTACTGGTTATACAGATGGGTGGTGGTTGTAGCTACTGGTTAGACAGATGGGTAGTGGTTGTAGCTACTGGTTAGACAGTTGGGTGATGGTTGTAGCTACTGATTAGACAGATGGATGGTGGTTGTAGCTACTGGTTAGACAGATGGGTGGTGGCTGTAGCTACTGGTTAGACAGATGGGTGGTGGTTGTAGCTACTGGTTAGACAGTTGGGTGGTGGTTGTAGCTACTGGTTAGACAGATGGATGGTGGTTGTAGCTACTGGTTAGACAGATGGGTGGTGGCTGTAGCTACTGGCTAGACAGATGGGTGGTGGCTGTAGCTACTGGTTAGACAGATGGGTGGTCGTTGTAGCTACTGGTTAGACAGATGGGTGGTGGCTGTAGCTACTGGCTAGACAGATGGGTGGTGGTTGTAGCTACTGGTTAGACAGATGGGTGGTGGTTGTAGCTACTGGTTAGATAGATGGGTTGTGGTTGTAGTTACTGGTTAGACAGATGGGTGGTGGTTGTAGCTACTGGTTAGACAGATGGGTGGTGGTTGTAGCTACTGGTTAGATAGATGGGTTGTGGTTGTAGTTACTGGTTAGACAGATGGGTGGTGGTTGTAGCTACTGGTTAGACAGATGGGTGGTGGTTGTAGCTACTGGTTAGATAGATGGGTTGTGGTTGTAGCTACTGGTTAGACAGATGGATGGTGGTTGTAGCTACTGGTTAGATAGATGGGTTGTGGTTGTAGTTACTGGTTAGACAGATGGATGGTGGTTGTAGCTACTGGTTAGATAGATGGGTTGTGGTTGTAGTTACTGGTTAGACAGATGGGTGGTGGTTGTAGCTGCTGGTTAGATAGATGGTTTGTGGTTGTAGCTACTGGTTTGACAGATGGATGGTGGTTGTAGCTACTGGTTAGACAGATGGATGGTGGTTGTAGCTACTGGTTAGATAGATGGGTTGTGGTTGCAGCTACTGGTTAGACAGATGGGTTGTGGTTGTAGCTACTGGTTAGACAGTTGGGTGGTGGTTGTAGCTACTGGTTAGACAGATGGGTGGTGGTTGTAGCTACTGGTTAGATAGATGAGTTGTGGTTGTAGCTACTGGTTAGACAGATGGATGGTGGTTGTAGCTACTGGTTAGACAGATGGATGGTGGTTGTAGCTACTGGTTAGATAGATGGGTTGTGGTTGTAGTTACTGGTTAGACAGATGGGTGGTGGTTGTAGCTACTGGTTAGATAGATGGGTTGTGGTTGTAGCTACTGGTTAGACAGATGGGTTGTGGTTGTAGCTACTGGTTAGACAGATGGCTGGTGGTTGTAGCTACTGGTTAGACAGATGGGTGGTGGTTGTAGCTACTGGTTAGACAGATGGGTTGTAGTTGTAGCTACTGGTTAGACAGATGGGTGGTGGTTGTAGCTACTGGTTAGACAGATGGGTGGTGGTTGTAGCTACTGGTTAGACAGATGGGTGGTGGTTGTAGCTACTGGTTAGACAGATGGATGGTGGTTGTAGCTACTGGTTAGACAGATGGGTGGTGGTTGTAGCTACTGGTTAGATAGATGGGTGCGGAAGAATTTTCTTTGCCTGGGTATATAACATTGGTGGTGTGACACTACTGTGCAGGATATTATGAAATAAATCATATATTCAAGGACCACAACAATGTATCTATCTCATCTGCTAGAAAATGATAGGATGGATAATGAGAACCTTCAAAACTAGGGACGCTAAGCCCATGATAATTATTTTGAAATCGCTTGTTCTCTTCAGGTTGGAATACTGCTGTACACTAACTTCTCTCTTCAAGGCACCCGAAGTTGCTGACCTGGAGGCACCCTTGCCTTTCATTGCTGACCAATGAAAAGTAAGGGTGCCACGAGTACACTAAGAGACAACGCATAAGTGCCAGGGACCCAAGACTGCTCGACTGCCTCCCAGCATACATAAGGAAGATTACCAATAGATCCCTGACTGTCTTCAAGAAGGAGCTGGACAGGCATCTAAAGTCAGTACCTGACCAGCCGGGCTGTGGTTCATACATCGGTTTACGTGCGACCAGCAGTAACATCCTGATTGATCAGACCCTGATCCACCATGAAGTCTGATCATGGACCGTGCCGCGGGGGCAATGACCCCCGAAACCCTCTCCAGGTATACTCCAGGTATTGTTGCCGCTACTAATATTGTTGTTGTTGTTGCTGTATTCTGCAACCATTGTTGTTGTTGCTGCTGCTGCTGCTGCTGCTGCTGCTGCTGCTGCTGCTGCTGCTGCTGCTGCTGCTGCTGCTGCTGCTGCTGCTGCTGCTGCTGCTGCTGCTGCTGCTGCTAATGTGTGTGTGTGTGTGTGTATCCGTGCACGTATGCTTGTTAGAGTATGTATGTATGTGTCTGCAATAATATCACAGTGAACAGATATCACAATATGCAAGATAATCATGTTTGTTATTTTGCATATGTGTGTGTGTATGTATGCATGTATGTGTGCGCATGCTTGTGCGCATGCTTGTGCGCATGTTTGGGTTATGTTTTATGTTATATTGTAGTCATTACTCTGTGTTGTATCTTGTTTTGTAACCACTGAATTATGTTATGTCTAGTGTTGCATGTTCTGTTGCAAGTACTGAAGTTAGTGTGCATGGTCTGCTGTAGCTTAGTTGCACAAAGTCTTACAGGGAGCACCTGCTACACAACGGCCAGCTTGGAGACTGAAGTTTTCTCCAGAATTACACTGGTAGTGGTAGCCTGGGTTGGGTACTCCTTCTTCAAGGCAGAGGTAGTACCTGCTACAATCCAAGGGGTCGGGGGCCTCCACGATCCCCGGACCGCAGTACGGAGTACACGAAACTTGGCAACATACTCCTATGTCCTTGACGCAGGTCTCTCCGTTAAAATAAGGGGTATCAGAGGGACAGGTGAGGGCTGGAATATCGCTAGGGAGACAAATATAGTAAGTACTGCAGTCGAATGGATCACTGATCATACTGTAGGTGCTGTTGCAGGTGATGGGGCAGACTGATACCTCACATGAAGGTGTACAATCAGTTCCCGAGACACAGTTACCATCAGGACCAAAGATCATGCCAGCGTCGCAGGGGAAAGGATGGTCTGATGGCGTATCATCCCATAAACAGATGTAATAGTTCGAGCAGCTTAAGGGATCTGCTACCTTGTCACCAGCATTTTTCCCAGTACAGTCTGGTGTACAGGAGTCTGCATAGAGCATCCCGGCGGTGCTCACCACCTGTGTGAACGTCAAAATATGCATTATAAAACTGTTTTTACCGTTTACGAAATGATGAATATAGAACTTCTTAAAGTAAGAAGTACCTACTACTATGACACAACTCCCATACAACCAACAACCTTTCTACCACTTTCTTCCTCTCTACAAATAACCTCTCTTAACATTTCCTTTGTGGCCGCAACCTCTCCTACTCTCTTACTCTCTGTCCAAAACCTCTTCCACTCTATTCCTGTCTACCCACAACCTCTCATCTTTGCACTGTGTTACACCAGTTCTTCCTCTTCCCATTCTTACCATCAATATTCTCTCCTAACATTTTATTATCACAAGTCCCTCTGTGTGGGACGGCCAGCCTTGGCTTCCTTTGTAGTCATGTAACTCTATGGTTGCAGGGGTCGAGTCATAACTCCTATGAGTGAGAGTAATTATTTCTAATGACTTATTTAAATCAATTATTGCTTAGTTATTGTGTTCAGGGCATCAAGGCGAATACGTAACAGACGGTAGTGATTTGTATATAATAATGGTAATAAGAGTAATTAACTATTATTTCTTTTATTATTATTATTATTATTATTATTATTATTATTATTAGTAGTAGTAGTATTAGTATTAGTATTATTATTATTATTATTATTATTATTATTATTACTTTTATTATTATTATTATTATTGTTGTTGTTGGTGTTGTTGTTGTTGTTATTATTATTACTACTAGTAGTAACAGTAATAGTAGAAGTAGTAGCAGCAGCAGTAATAGCAGTTGTACTGGAATTAATTAATAGTAATTATAATAGAATATAATATTATGGAGACTTAGTAACGGCACAGGAGGTTGAGACTTGTTGACTTTACATAGAACAAAAGACAATTATCCTCACCGCTAAAGAAATAAGAAAAATGAGCTTGAGCATCTTGGACCAATTGTGTTGATGATGAGGATCAACAGACTCTTGACTACTTGTGGACTTCCCCACCAACACCGACTCCTGCTCAAGAAGACTCTGGATCGAGTGTATTTGCAAGTGTACTGTGGTGGGCTTCAGGAGTGCTGTGAGGGACCACCGGTTTGTTGAAGCTGTACGAGACTATGCAGCTTCTAGTGTCGGGATGCCAACACTTATACACCGACTCTAATCAATGTGAGGGCGTTCCTGTTACGACACCAGTGAGAGGGACCCTTGTGGTTAGATTGCGTTAATGTGTACTATCACTGTCAACCGAGATAAACACGTCTTCAGGTGTAGAGGAAACACCTTGTATTTCTCACGACTTAAAACAATAATAATAACAAATAAGTATTGTCACAATGACACTGATGTGCTGCTGCAAGTTCTTAATGTAACAATCTCCTTGATGATTTTCTTTGTTTATATTAAGCTGTTACATATGATAAAGAAACATTTATGGGTTAAGGAAGAGGATGTTGGCCAACAACAATACAAGAGTTTTTAGTTCGTCACACCAACAAACGTAAAAAAGTACTAGGTTTAAACGATGATTTAATATTTTGTTTAATAGATGTTTGAGATCCGGCAGATGAAGGTAAGTGATGCTTAATCTTGTTTCAAAGCAGCAGTGGATGCCAATGTGAAAAAAAAATGGAAATCTGAGTTTGTTTTTTTTTTCTGTGAAGTTAACCCGATGTTCATTGAGTTATATAGTGTGATGAATGGTTTAGAAAACCGACAAGTTGAAGAATTGAGACACTTATGCATCACATGGGAATCTTTATTGAAGAAACGTTTCGCCACACAGTGGCTTCATCTGTCCAATACAAAGTAGAAATGGGTAAGGAGAGGAGAAGTTTGATGTAATCAGTCCCTCAACCTGGTTGAGGGACTGATGAAGCCACTGTGTGGCGAAACGTTTCTTCAATAAAGATTCCCATGTGTTGCATAAGTGTCTCAATTCTTCGAGTTATATAGTGAAGTTATGACGAATTCCTGCTAGGGGAAAAAATCAACATATCCCAGGATGGCCGACGTCCGTTTCTTCCTAATAATTCTGATGCATTCCTTCTGACATTATGTTATGCCTTCCTTTCTACTTAGTCTCATGCGTTCCTTCATACCCCTGGCTGTCTTGGAGAAGGCGCTGGACAGGCACCTAAAGTCAGTACTTGACCAGCCGGGCTGTGGTTAGTACGTCAGTTTGCGTGCGGTCAGCAGTAACAGCCTGGCTGATCAGACCTTGATCCACCACGAGGCCTGGTCTTAGACCGAGCCGCGGGGGTGTTGATCCCCGAAACCCTCTCCAGTTAAACTCCAGGTATCTCACTCTTTCCTTTCTATTTATCCTCTGACGCGTTCTAGCAATTGCTTAGATGGGCGGTGGTTGTATCTACTGGTTAGACAGCTGAATAGTTAGGTTCCAGCAGCTGGTTAGACAAATGAGTGGTTGTTGTAGCTACTAGTAAGACAGGTTGTGATCATAATTTCTTGTTAGACATATGAGAGGGGGGTTGTAACTACTAGTTAGACATATGAGAGGGGGTTGTAACTACTTGTTAGACATATGAGAGGGGTTTTTAACTACTAGTTAGACATATGAGAGGGGATTGTAACTACTAGTTAGACATATGAGAGGGGGTTGTAACTACTAGTTAGACATATGAGAGGGGATTGTAACTACTAGTTAGACATATGAGAGGGGGTTGTAACTACTTGTTAGACATATGAGAGGGGGTTTTAACTACTAGTTAGACATATGAGAGGGGGTTGTAACTACTAGTTAGACATATGAGAGGGGATTGTAACTACTAGTTAGACATATGAGAGGGGGTTGTAACTACTAGGTAGACTTACGAGTGGTGGTTGTGGACCAGTACTCGTTCCTCATCCTTTTCCTCATCCTCATATCTGACATAGAGATGTAAATCATATCCCCATATAACCCAGTACTGACGATACTTGAATTTGCATGTGTGTGTGTGTCTGTGTGTCTGCGTGTCTGGTGTATATATGTGTGTGTGTGTGTGTGTGTGTGTGTGGTGTGTGTGTGTGTGTGTGTGTGTCTGTGTGTATGTGTGTGTGTGTGTGTGTGTGTGTGTGTGTGTGTGTGTCTGTGTGTATGTGTGTGTGTGTGTGTGTGTGTGTGTGTGTGTCTGTGTGTCTGTGTGTATGTGTGTGTGTGTGTGTGTGTGTGTGTGTCTGTGTGTCTGTTGTGTATGTGTGTGTGTGTGTCTGTGTGTCTGTGTGTCTGTGTGTCTGTGTGGGCTGTGTGTATGTGTGTGTGTGTGTGTGTGTCTGTGTGTATGTGTGTGTTGTGTGTGTGTGTGTGTGTTTGTGTGTCTGTGTGTCTGTACTCACCTAATTGTACTCACCTAATTGTGGTTGCAGGGGTCGAGACTCAGCTCCTGGCCCCGCTGTGTGTAGTGTGTGTGTGTGTGTGTGTGTGTGTGTGTGTGTGTGTGTGTATGTGTGTGTGTGTGTGTGTGTGTGTCTGTCTGTCTGTGGGTCTGTGTGTATGTGTGTATGTGTGTGTGTGGTGTGTGTGTGTGTGTGTGTGTGTGTGTGTGTGTCTGTGTGTATGTGTATGTGTGTGTGTGTGTGTGTGTGTGTGTGAGTGAGTGTGTCTGTGTGTCTGTGTACTCACCTAGTTGAGGTTGCGGGGGTCGAGTCCGTGCTGTGTGTATGTGTGTGTGTGTCTGTGTGTCTGTGTGTCTGTGTGTATGTGTATGTGTGTGTGTGTGTGTGTGTGTGTGTGTGTGTGTGTGTGTGTGTGTGTGTGTGTCTGTGTGTCTGTGTGTCTGTGTGTATGTGTGTGTGTATGTGTGTACTCACCTAGTTGAGGTTGCGGGGGTCGAGTCCGAGCTCCTGGCCCCGCCTCTTCACTGATCGCTACTAGGTCACTCTCCCTGAGCCGTGAGCTTTATCATACCTCTGCTTAAAGCTATGTATGGATCCTGCCTCCACTACATCGCTTCCCAAACTATTCCACTTACTGACTACTCTGTGACTGAAGAAATACTTCCTAACATCCCTGTGATTCATCTGTGTCTTCAGCTTCCAACTGTGTCCCCTTGTTACTGTGTCCAATCTCTGGAACATCCTGTCTTTGTCCACCTTGTCAATTCCTCTCAGTATTTTGTATGTCGTTATCATGTCCCCCCTATCTCTCCTGTCCTCCAGTGCCGTCAGGTCGATTTCCCTTAACCTCTCCTCGTAGGACATACCCCTTAGCTCTGGAACTAGTCTTGTTGTAAACCTTTGCACTTTCTCTAGTTTCTTCACGTGCTTGGCTAGGTGCGGGTTCCAAACTGGTGCCGCATACTCCAATATGGGCCTAACGTACACGGCGTACAGGGTCCTGAACGATTCCTTATTAAGATGTCGGAATGCTGTTCTG